ATTCACTCGTATTCTCAAACATACAATCTCGCACTCACTCTCAAATACACACACACACTCACGCATACACTCACACGCTCGCACTCACACACACACTCACCCACGCTGAGGTCTTCAAAGTCGCTTTGTTGGTGTACATGTCATCTTTAAGAGTATCTGAAAGCATCCGGCTAGTATCTTCATCCTCCTCCCCCCTGTCACACACACCCACACTCGCTGGGGACACGCCCACACTAGCTAGGACACGCCCACACTAGCTAGAACACGCCCACACTAGCTAGAACACGCCCACACTAGCTAGGACACGCCCACACTAGCTAGGACACACCCACACTAGCTAGGACACGCCCACACTAGCTAGGACACGCCTACACTAGCTAGGACACGCCCACACTAGCTAGGACACGCCCACACTAGCTAGGACACGCCCACACTAGCTAGGACACGCCCACACTAGCTAGGACACGCCCACACTAGCTAGGACACGCCCACACTAGCTAGAACACGCCCACACTCGCTGGGGACACGCCCACACTAGCTAGGACACGCCCACACTAGCTAGGACACGCCCACACTAGCTAGGACACGCCCACACTAGCTAGGACACGCCCACACTAGCTAGGACACGCCCACACTAGCTAGGACCCGCCCACACTAGCTAGGACACGCCCACACTAGCTAGGACACGCCCACACTAGCTAGGACACGCCCACACTAGCTAGGACACGCCCACACTAGCTAGGACACGCCCACACTAGCTAGGACACGCCCACACTAGCTAGGACCCGCCCATTCCTCCACACCCAGCAGCCTGTGATATTGTGAACAAAGTCCTGGGAAAATATACCCGCTCTTCGCCTACACTAAAATATTTAGGGCTCCGTAAACACAATCTTTCTCAGACGCCAGGAGTTCTTAACCCGGCCCACTCTCTCCCTGCCCCAGCCCACTCCCCCCCTACCCCAGCCCACTCCCCCCTGCCCCAGCCCACCTTCAACCCACCCCCCCACCCACCCTCACACCCACTCCCCGCCCATCTCCGTTAGCCTTCCAGTCGATCACCGCCCACCTCAGCCTTCTCTCTCCGCCCATCACCGCCCATTTGCTACAAGTTAGAAAAGGTTCAGGGGTATGCCACCAGACTAGTCCCCGAGCTGAGAGGTATGAGCTACGAGGAAAGATTACTAGCACTGAACCTCACGACACTGGAAGACAGAAGAGTTAGGGAGATATGATCACTATCTATAAAATTTTCAGAGAATTTGACAGGGTAGATAAGGATAAACTGTTTAACACGGGTGGTACGCGAAATTGAGTACCCAAATGAGCCACAGGGACGTTAGAAAGAACTTTTTCAGTGTCAGAGTAGTTAACAAATGGAATGCACTAGGCAGTGATGTGGTGGAGGCTGACTCCATACACAATTTCAAAGTGTAGATATGATAGAGCCCAGTAGGCTCAGGAACCTGTACACCAGTTGACTGACAGTTGAGAGGCGGGACCAAAGAGCCAGAGCTCAACCCCCGCAAGCACAACAAGGTAAGCACATATAGCCCGTTGATATAAACCTACTAGCATAACCAATTTAACAAATGAATAATCTTTGAACTAAATATCATATGTGTTATCCCAGTTAATGGACATTGGTGCTTCTGTTATCATAGTACATTGGGTCTTTATTAAGCTGATTAAGCTTAACTAAGCTGTATGTATACTGCTGACGCTTGTGTCAACAAAGGCGGGAAGTAGTTAACCAGTTTTCTAACTTGCTAAGCTAAACGGATGATGGAGATTGGAAGCTAAGTCCATTATGTGTCTCTGTAATACTGCCACTACCACTCACAGGATTGGTATGGGGTCCACTACCACTCACAGGATTGGTATGGGGACCACTACCACTCACAGGATTGGTATGGGGACCACTACCACTCACAGGATTGGTATGGGGTCCACTACCACTCACAGGATTGGTATGGGGACCACTACCACTCACAGGATTGGTATGGGGTCCACTACCACTCACAGGATTGGTATGGGGACCACTACCACTCACAGGATTGGTATGGGGACCACTATCACTCACAGGATGGGTATGGGGTACACTACCACCCACAGGATGGGTATGGGGTGCACTATCACTCACAGGATTGGTATGACGTCCACTGCCACTCACAGGATGGGTATGGGGCCCACTACCACCCACAGGATGGGTATGGCGTCCACTACCACTCACAGGATGGGCATGGGGTCCACTGCCACTCACAGGATGGGTATGGGGCCCACTACCACCCACAGGATGGGTATGGGGTCCACTACCACCCACAGGATGGGTATGGGGTCCACTACCACTCACAGGATGGGTATGAGGTCCACTACCACCCACAGGATGGGCATGGGGTCCACTACCACTCACAGGATGGGCATGGGGTCCACCACCACTCACAGGATGGGTATGGGGTCCACTACCACTCACAGGATGGGTATGGGGTCCACTACCACTCACAGGATGGGTATGGGGTCCACTATCACTCACAGGATGGGTATGGGGTCCACTATCACTCACAGGATGGGCATGGGGTCCACCACTAGCTTCTGACCTCCTCGTTTCGATCACTTTCAGCCTCTGACAGGCGCGTTTTGATCGAAATGCTACCTATTCGTTCGAAAATTCAACTGTCGAAACATTGCATATGTACATTCCTGGGCTCACCTTGTGTACGTGTGTACATGCGTCTGTACATACTCACTAGTACATAATAAGCAGAGTTTACAGAAGCGAGCCTTAGCTCCTGGACCCCGTCTTTCCACCTGTCAGTTGACAAGAAGTGATTCCAAGCGATGTTCAACAGACCCTTGAAGATTGACTGACTGGATGATTGAGAGAGACGAAGAAGGGAGAGATAATTAAGGTGATAGAGATAAAGAGGAATATAAATAAAGGACAAAAAGCAAGATACAATAACCTATAAATATCACATGAAGGCATCGTATATGTGATTAGGAGACAGTGCTCTCAATCTCTCTCTCTCTTTCTGTCTCTCTCTGTCTCTGTTTCTGTCTCCCTGTCTCTCTCTCTCTCTCTCTCTCTCTCTCTCTCTCTCTCTCTCTCTCTCTCTCTCTCTCTCTCTCTCTCTCTCTCTCTCTCTCTCTCTCTCTCTCTCTCTCTCTCTCTCCCCCTCCTTGCCTCTCTCTCTCTCCCTTCGACCCGTCCATCAGGTGAGAGGCAGCTGGGAGGCAGGGCGACTCAACGCTCTCTGGGAGCAAAAGAATTGAGTTTGGAAAATGTCTAGACCTTAGTTCGAGCCCTCTAAGGTAGGGCGGAGAACACTGCACTCACCTGGTGTTCACTCACCTAGTGTTCACTCACCTGGTGTTCACTCACCTAGTGTTCACTCACCTAGTGTTCACTCACCTAGTGTTCACCAACTGAATATTCACCCAATCAGTGTTCACCAACTCAAACACTGATTCGGGATTCAGTAATACTGAATCCTGAATCAGTGGTCAATGACAGAGTATATTCATACAAATAGTATCCACACATATAAACAGTATACACACATACACAGTACACATACACAGTACACATACACACATACACAATATATACACATACATACACAGTATATATATACACTCACATACACATTATATACACCCACCCACACAGTATAATCAGTATTACCTAACATTAAAAACACCTACAATGAAAACAAAATCTAATCTCTTATTGTCGAATGAGAAGAAAATAAAAAAAAATAAGTGAAATAGCAGTATGAAAGACACTAAGAGAAAGAAAGAATAACAAGAGAGAGAGAAAAGAATGTTAAGAAAATGGAATGGGATCCATTTTAGTGAATGGAATAGGAATGAATACTAAAGATGATAGTGAAGAGGAAATATGAAGATAGGATGGACGTATAGGAGTAGGAGAGGCAGGGGTGAGGATGGTGTGTAGAGGGGAGTGAGTGGTAGGGAAGAGGGAACAAGGATGGGAAGGGGAAATGGAGAATAATGGGGAGGAAAAGAGGAAAGAGGAGATTAGGAAATGGAGGACAGAGCGCAGGTGGCAATGGTTGTAGACAATGGCTGGCTATTTGTCTTCTTGATATACGAGAGAGAGAGAGAGGGAGAGAGAGAGAGAGAGAGAGAGAGAGAGAGAGAGAGAGAGAGAGAGAGAGAGAGAGAGAGAGAGAGAGAGAGACTAGAATATGTGAGTCTGTTGGGAGAGTTTCTGTTTCACTCTCTTGTCTGCGCCCATTTCAAATTTTGTAAACAATTTTCTCTGCAGTTCTTTTGTTCTCCCTGTGTTCCTGCTTGTCCGTGTCAAAGACATGTTACAGTCTTACTGGACATCTGTTCTTCCACGTCTCCTCCTGGTTCTTCTCCATCTTTTGCCAGTTTCCTTGTGTCTGGGGTATCTAGGCAAGTCCCAGTCACTCCTTATAACTTTTAAACTAATGAACAATTAGTTAATTTAGTTGGCCAAAATGCATAAGATCATACGATATATTTCTTTTACGAGTCACGACACAGGAGAAAAATTGCAAAAAGTTGCAATATAGAATTCTGGAAAAAGAGTTCTGGAAAGAAATTCAGCAGAGGCGAACATAAGTACCTGTTGCAAATTGCATAAACATGGCAGAATATTGACGATAATTTTGCAAGAAGTTCTGAAGAAGGTCCCCCGTGAACTCTGCAACACTGAAGGGGCAGGTTCCCTGCATTTAGGGGTTCTGAATAAGTGAGCTTGGTAACAGGAAGGTATTAGTGAGGTATTATTAGTGCTTCACTACCTTGTAGGCTTCCAGGAAAGTCTCCTGGATGAATCTTTTGAAAGAATGGGCATAGCGGATTAAAATAAAACTTGAGAATAGGAGTTAAGGGAAGATGAAGCCGGTCAGGAGAACGAGGGGGAAGAGACCATTATATAAGAGGGTGATGGGGAGGGACAAGGAGGGTCCCCCTCATTCAGTGAAGGGGGATAAATGGGGACTTACCTCGCCCATTGGGCCCTGGTATTGGGTGCCAACGCCCCCATAACCCCAGTTGGGTCCTGCCTCTGGGCGGAACCTGTAATCAGAAAGTTACGTTAGTTAGAATAACTCACTACACACACATGCTAGATTATTATAGTGTATTTTGATCTGAGATGTGACATGCAAGCAAAGTCCTTCTATATCTATGGGCCCCAATGAAGCAAGCAAAGTCCTCGTATATCTATGGGCCCCATGAAGCAAGCAAAGTCCTCGTATATCTATGGGCCCCAATGAAGCAAGCAAAGTCCTTGTATATCTATGGGGCCCCAATGAAGCTAGGAAAGTCCTTGTATATCTATGGGCCCAATAAAGCAAGCAAAGTCCTAGTATATCTATGGGGCCCCATGATGTTTCTACTAATTAATATAATA